CATTCCTGTCCATTTTAGTTCACTGATTCCTAAGATGTTGATGTTCGGTCTTGTCATCACTTGTCTGACCACATCCAGCTTGCCTTGATTCATGGATCCTACATTTCAGGTTTCTGTGGAGTACAGATCTTCGCAGCATCGGACTCTCCTTTCGCCACCAGATGCATCTGCAACTGAGTGTCCTTTCGGCTTTGACCCAGTCGCTTCATTCTTTCTGGCGCTGCTAGTACTAGCCCTCCGCTCTTCCCCAGTAGCACACTGGACACCTTCCGACCTGAGGGGCTCATCTTCCGGCCTCATATCATTTTGCCTTTTGGCACTGTCCGTGGGGTTTTCATGGCAAAGATACTGGAGTGGGTTGCCATTTCCTTCTCCAGTGGAGCACGTTTTGTCGGCGCTCTCTGCTGTGACCTGTCCATCTTGGGTGCCCCTGCACGGCAGAGCTCATGGCTTCATTGAGCCACGCTAGCCCCTTTGCCACGACAAGGCAGTGATCCAGGAAGGGGTCACATACCTAGAAGTTTCTAAAAGATCCCCTCTTCTAAAAGGCCCCCCCTCCTCCAGCTGGAGAGAGCCCGCTCCCTCCACTCTCCTCCCAGGCCAGCTCTCCCAGCCCGGCTCCCGTTCCTGTGCCCTGCGCTGGGCCGACCCCGACCTGGCTGTGTCTCCCCACGACGGGGAGCCCAGAACGGGACGCAGGACTAGAACGGTGGGTGCGCCAGGGTCATGCAGAGCAGTGGCAACATCTCCTCTGGCTACACATCCAAGGGTGGCATTTGCCTTCTTAACCACCTCGTCACACTGCTGGCTCATGTTCAGCCTGCTGTTGACAAGCACCCACTTTGGTATCCCCCACAAATTTAGTCAGCAGGCTGGTTATCCTTCCCTTCAGGTCATAGATGAAAAGGTTGAACAGAATTCATCCCAGAACTGAGCCCGGGGGGACCCCGCTTGTCACTGGCCACCATCCTGATGGCTCCCCACTGATAGCCACCCTCTGCTTTCAGTCCGTCAACCATGCCCTAATCCATCAGAAAGTGCATCAGTCTGTCCCCAGACTCTTCAATTTCTCAACCAGGGTATCACACAGCGCTTTCACCTTGCTGAAATTCAGGTAAACCACGTCCACCACGTCCCTTCAGTCTAGCTGCCTTGAGACCTTATCACAGACCCTCCCTTCCCTTCCTGCAGAAATTGTCTTTTTACATTTGCAATCAAAATGACAAATGCAGCTTATTTATTTGTCGAACTAATACATCACCGAATGTTTTAAGTATAATCAAATCCCAAAGCTGTTCAAAGGGGATGCATCCTGCAGCAACCTCTCAGCCACATCCCCTTGCTTAACTAGATCCAGCATGGCTGCCACGAGAGACTCCACCCCAGGACCAGCTGCGAAGCTTTGTCACGCTGCATGAAGATTCGCCAGCTCCATGCCGGGAAGGCAATTTGCCATGAGGCTCAGGCACCGCCGCGAGAAGCCTGGGGCCGGCAGTCATCCAGGAAGGACCCGCACCCCGTAACACTGCACTTCCTAACTCAGGCAACCAGGCTGTGGCGAACGGTATCAAGACCCAGTAAGAGGATAGGGCGGGCTGCCCCTTCCGGGACTGTCGCAAGTCAGGCCTGTGCCCAGAAGGGACCAGCTTGTCAAATAATCCACATCGTTCAGCGAGGTGCTGAGAAGCCGCCACACACCCCAGCACCTTCCCCAGAAGAGGAGACTGGACACCTGGTGGCGAAGGGAGGTGTCTGAAGGAGGTCTCTTTCATGCTGGCCTTCCCAGGGCTTCCTTTAAGGTCTGTGAGGGGGTGTCACACGGAGGTGGGGAGAGACCTGTTCTCCCCTGCAGAGGAAGGCAGGACGCGCTCCAACGGAGCAAAGCTCAGGGAACCCAGGTTCCATTTGGATGCCGGGAAGCACTTCCTGACAGTCAGCACCCCGAGGGTGTGGAATGGGCTTCCAGGGAGGTGGGTGAGGCCTCACTGGGGAGGATGTCCAAGGACTGGCTGGACGTGCACATGGTGGGCATGTCGTGAGGGGGCCGGCTGGAGCCAGGGTCAGACTAGATCAGGGTCAGGGAGAAAATCGCTCAGATTCGTCACGAGCTGGACTCCACTAATGAATCAGAGGTCTCTGAGGAGTCGCCAATGCCACCGTCTGGTCCAAAATTATTGGAGGAATTTCAATTATTGCAGCCCAATGATGTGGACAAGGTGCTTGGAAGAGTACGTCCCACCACTTGCCTATTGGATCCTTGCCCGTCTTGGCTAATAAATAACTCCAAGCACGGGATTGGGACCTGGATCTTGGAAGTGGTTAACGCTTCTCTGAGGGAGGGTCGAGTGCCTGCCCCTTTAAAGGAGGCGGTAATACGACCGGTCCTGAAGAAAGCGTCATTGGATCCAGAGATGGCCACTAACTATAGACCTGTGGCCAACATCCCGTTTCTGGGCAAGGTGTTGGAGCGAGTGGTGGCGGGACAACTCCAAGCACTCTTGGATGAAACTGATTATCTGGATCCTTTTCAGTCCGGCTTCAGACCCGGGTACAGTACTGAATCTGCCTTGGTCGCCCTGTATGACGACCTGTGCAGGAAGAAGGACAGGGGGAGTACATCCCTGTTGGTTCTTCTGGACCTCTTGGCGGCTTTCGATACCATCGACCATGGTATCCTTCTGGATAGACTTGCGGGATTGGGGGTTGGAGGCACTGCTTTGCAGTGGTTCCGCTCCTATCTCGACGGTCGATTCCAGAAGGTAGTGCTGGGGGACCATGTCTCTACATCATGGCAGCTATGCCATGGGGTACCACAGGGCTCCATTCTATCTCCTCTGCTATTTAACATCTATATGAAACCGCTGGGAGAGGTCATCAGGAGGTGTGGGCTGCGGAATCATCAATACGCTGATGATACCCAGCTTTACCTCTCGTTCTCCACTAATCCAGGTGAGGCAGTGGCTGTGCTGAACCGGTGCTTGGCCGAGGTAAGGGAATGGATGAGGGCCAATAAACTGAAACTCAACCCAGACAAGACGGAGGTCCTGTTGGTTGGCGGATCGGGTTTCGGAGAGGGTGGATTTGACCTGGTCCTGAATGGTGCAACACTCCCTCTTAGGGACAAGGTCTGCAGCTTGGGAGTGCTCCTCGACCTGGAGCTTTCTTTGGAGGCTCAGGTGACAGCGGTGGCGAGGAGCGCCTTCCTTCAGCTTCGGCTGATTAATCAGCTGCGCCCCTACCTGGAGTACGACTGCCTGGCGACGGTGACACACGCGCTGGTGACTTCCCGCCTAGACTTCTGTAACGCGCTTTATGTGGGGCTTCCCCTGAAGACGGTCCGAACACTTCAATTGGTGCAAAATAGAGCTGCCAGGTTGCTGACGGGGACGGGGCGTTATGCTCACATGACTCCAGTCCTCCGTCAGCTTCACTGGCTTCCCATTGAAGCCCGGGCCCAATTCAAGGTGTTGATTATGACCTACAAAGCCCTAAACAGCTTGGGTCCTGGCTACCTGAACGAGCGCTTACGTCCGTATATGCCCGACCGCCCCTTGAGATCTGCGGGAGAGTCCCTTCTCCGGGAACCCTCCATGAAAGAAATTAGGAGAGTAAGTACCCGGAGGAGGGCTTTCTCTGCGGTGGCGCCCAACCTATGGAATTCACTCCCCAAAGAGGTCCGCCTGGCACCGTCGTTACTGGTTTTTCGGCGCCAGGTAAAGACCTTTTTATTTAAACATCATTTCAATTGTTAAAACATATGATCTGGCCAGGGCAACTTCTTTTTCCTTCTCTTTCTCCTCCTATATTTTTATTTTATACTGATAATTTTAATTTTATTTTTGTAAATCAATGTATTTTTATATTTAATGGTAATTTATTATGTACTATTGTATTTCAATGAATTTTATCATGTTGTAAGTCGCCCCGAGGTTTCGGCAAGGGGCGGCATAGAAATGCTATAATAATAATAATAATAATAATAATAATAATAATAATAATAATAATAATGGCCTGGGAGGCCCCTTCTGACTCGCTCTGTTTCTATGCTTCCATGTTAAGCTAGTGGGATCAGCCCTTCCCACAGGTGCCACAGGGCCCCACCTGTCTCCCCACTACACCCTCTGGGGGCACGCGGATGGCTCTCAGTTCCAGCGCCCCGTTCCACCTCATGGTCCAAAGGATGCTGCAGGATGCCTGGACCGGTGCCCAGAGGGAGGCCAAAGAAGAGGAGGCTTAACCCAGAAAAACAGACGCGGCTCGATCAGGAAGCAGAGCAGCCGGGGCAGGAGAGCTCGCCCGGCCTTAGAGGGGGCTGTGGCCCATCTGGCCACCTGTGGGCCAGCCCTCGCAGGGTGCGGGCGAGGTCTCGGCGCATGCATGCGCCGGTCTGCCCCCACCCTCTGCTGCCGCCCCGCCACTTGCAGCAATGCTCCCGGAGGAGGTGGGGAGGCTCCCGCAGTGGGGCAGCCAGGAGCACCTTTCAGCGGCTTGGGGCTCAGGCACAGCATCCCCAAGCCCAGAGGTGGATGGGGCCCAGAGGCCATGGGTCCACACTCCCGCTCCGGCAGGACGCCCAGTTAAAGCACCCCCGACAGGGGGCTCCACGGGGGGAGAGCCCCGGCCCGGGGCTTCCGCGGCCTCGTTGTGCTGCCGGCCCGGAAGAGCGCCCGATGGTCGGCAGGAGTCTGGCTCCGTGTCACTTCGGCTGCTGCGGGCGGCGCCGGCGCGTGTGCGGAGAGGAGCGGGTGCCGCTCGCGTTCAGGCCGGGCCGCCGCCGCAGCGTCCTCCACGGGGGTCCCTCGGAAGCCGGGCAGGCGCGGCGGGGCGAGCCGGGACCGGCCCGGCCCGGCTGCCCGCGCCTCTGAGCCGCTTCGACCCGCGGCTGCGGCCGCTCGCGGGGCTCTGGCCCGCCCGGCGCCGCACTCCGCCTCCGGCCTGCAGGGGGCGCTCGGCGCTCGGGCCAGAGAGGCCGCGGGCAGAGCGGCCCCCCGCCGGAAGCGCCGGCGCGCGCCCTCCCCGCGGACCCGCTTCCGCAGACGCCGCGCGACGGAAGCCGGAAGGACGTGGAGCGAGCGGGCCGCGCCGACAGGTGAGCCCGCGCCCCCGCCCGCCCCCCGCCCGCCGGCCGCTCTCCCCCCCGCCCCCCTGACCCGCCGCCGCTCGTCTCCCCGCAGGATGGTGACGGACGTGCAACTGGCCATCTTCGCCAACATGCTGGGCGTCTCGCTCTTCCTGCTCGTGGTGCTCTACCACTACGTGGCCGTCAACAACCCCAAGAAGCAGGACTGACCGCCGCCGCCGCCGCCGCCGCCGCAGGTAACGGACCACGAGCGCCCGCCGGCAGCCGCGCCCCGCCGCCGCCGCCGCCGCCGCCTCCTCACCACCCGCCCTTCTCTCCCCGGCAGGGCCGCCCGCGGCGCCGATGGCCCGCCCGCCCCGAGGAAGCCCGCGCACGAAGCCGGGGGCCGAAGCCGCGCGACTCGACGACCTCCGGCAGGCAGCGGGGAGCCGGGCGCTTCGTCGCAAAACCAAATTTATTAATTAGAAATCTGTTACAAGGAAGTCTCGTCTCAAAAATAGTCTGCAACCGAGTAGCCAGCCCTGCTCGGGCCGAGGCGCCGGGTGGGCCCGGCCGCCGGCGGAGGCGCCCCGGGAGGTGGGCGCGCAGGGCTCCCCGGAGGGGCCCGCGGCTGTCGGCTCGCTGCTTCGGGGCGCAGCCGGCGGCCCCGGGAGGTGCGGCGGGCTGCTGGTGAGGTGTCAGGCGCGGTCCGCGGGCCGAAGGCGCAGCTTTGGCACGGAGGGGCAGGGCCGCCGGCTCGGGAGTGCCTCTGGTGCCAACGGGAAGGGGGGCTCGGCCGGCCCTTTCCACACCGAGGGGCGAGCTGCGAGCCAGCTGGTTCCTGGGACGGGGTGGGAGGGCAGCACCTGAGCGGCCACATAGGCTGGCCGGTTGCCGTGCCCCTGCCAGCGGGTCAGGCTTCGGAGCAGAAGGATAGGATCTTGTGGTAGGTAAGCTGTGGGGACTCCGCTCGTGCCTGGCGACGCTGCAACAGAGAGATCCGGCTCAGGGTCAGGCCGTGTCGCGGGCGGGCGGGCGTCTCCGCTGTCCCAGAGCTTCAAGAGGGAGGTGGGCACGGCCTCTGCCCCAGCGAGGGCACTGTTGAGTCTCACTGCAGCGCTTCCCCCGCCCCATACCTTGTCCGGCAAAACCTTGGGAGAGTTGTGCAGAAATAGTGGCTCTTCCCTCTGGCCAGTTACCACCAGTTCTGGCACCTCCAGTGGAAACTCTGCGGGGGGAGGAGACCATTCTCTGACACAGGGAGAGGGGGCTGGGGACCGCCTCTGGAAGAACTGGAGGCCCCAAGACCCTCCCCATGCCCTTTTCTGAGGGCCACTGCAAGGCCTACCTGGCAGGGAGCTCTGCTCCGGCAGGTGTGAGGCGGCGTATTTCCACGCCTTGAGGGCAGAGTTACCGCTGCAGCCGTGAAGCCTGAGTAGCTGCTGAGGTTGTCCGGCCGGTCGCCTGCGGATGGGGATCCGGCTGGGCCGAGGAATCAGCATCTCCAGGCTGCGGGAAGAGCGCAGGACTGGAGGAGGCACCCAAGAGCCAACCAGTCCTAGGGGATCTCAGGATGGTGGAGAGCAATGGTGCGGGGAGCAGTGCCCAGTCCTGCACTGGTGCAGGGCCTTCTGGATCACAGATACTCTGCCCTGGGTGGGGGTGGGGATTGCTGCTCTCTGGCACACAGGCTTCCACGAGTGCATCCCGGAAGCCGCTCCAAGTCCTTCCCAACCTGCAGGACCACCGAGCTCCGCTCGCTCCCGCCCCCCCATTGCACGAACCCTTCACGGCCATTACCTGGGCCGTCCTGAGAGCGCCTCACTGGTCAGCCGCCTCGAGAGATTCTGCATGGAGGAAGGAACGTCGGTGGGTACAGAGAAGACGCGGTGCAAGGGTGGCCCGGCCCCTCCGAGCCACCACAAGCCTAGGAGTACATACGGGGGGAGCAGCAGGCGATGGGGGCCGTTTTCCGGGGATAGGAGGGGTGGGGAAGCCAGGGGCCTGGCTGCCCGCGGGTGTGAGGGGGTAGAGAGGAGCAGGCGGCGGCGACAGCAGCTCAGGCAAAAGGCCCTTTCCGGAACGCGCGGTGCCTGGCAGCGGCACGCAGCCTCCGCAACAGCCCAGCCTCTCGACGTCTCGGCAGCCCACCAAGCCAGGGTAGGGGCTACCCCGGCCAGTGACCCTCCCCCCCCCGTCCAGCCGCTGCCCTGTACCTGCAGCAATGCTAGGCCACAAGGCGGAGGCGGCCTCGGCTCCTCTTGGGGGCGCTCTGCCTCCCGCAGCCCGTAGCAGGCCGCTGCCACCGCGCTAGCCTGGGCGGCCACGAGGAGGTTGCTGCAGCCGGGCCCTGCGCGACCAACGGAAGACAGACGGTCAGCGCCCGGCAAGGGTGACGGGCCGCTGCCGTGGGGCTGCCCTCAGGCTGGGCTCCTCGCACTTGCTGCCCCTTCTGGCGAGGTCGAACTGGCTGCCGGCAGCAGAAAATGGCCCCGCCGGGTCCCGCAACGCCACTGCTGACCACCAGCCAGAAATGCAAGTGGCACGGTTTGCGTGGGGAAGGGCCATTGAGTGGGATTTCGGGGAGGGGGTTGGCCATGCCCTCGGCAGAAATGGCAGCTGGGCTTTCAAGGGGGCCACTGGCAGATTTCCTTGGCATGTAACACAGAAACAAAGCAAGTCTGAAGGGGTCTCCTGGGCCATCTAGTCTGACCTCCGCCAGCTCTGCTCATGTGGGTGCCCAATCTTTCCTCAAACACCCGCACCAACGGGGCCTCAACCACCTCCCGAGGAAGCCCGTTCCACACCCTCGGGGCCTCAACCGCCAGCAAGTCCTTCCTGGCATCCAAGCTGAAGCCCGGTTCCTCGAACTTTGCCCCACTGGAGCGTGTCCGGCCCTCCGCTGCAGGGGAGAACAGCTCAGGGCCCTGCCCCACAGGACACCCTCTCGCACCCCCAGAAGCTGCTAACAGGCCCCCTGGGAGCCTCCCCTCCTCCAGCTGAAGAGACCCCACTCCCCCCACTCTCCTCCCAGGCCAGCCCTCCCAGCCCAGCTCCCATTCCTGTGCCCTGTGCTGGGCCGACCCCGACCTGGCAGTGTCTCCCCACGATGGGGAGCCCAGAACGGGGCGCGGTGCTGCAGCTGTGGGCACACCAGAGTCACACAGAGCGATATCAACACCTCCCTCGGTCGGGAAGCCATGCTTCTGGCTACATATCCAAGGATGGCATTCGTCACATGGCTGACCCATGTTCAGCCTGCAGCCGAGCAGCACCCGAGGTCCCTTTCACAAGTGCTGCTCTCCAGCCCCTTCGCCCTAACCTGTGCTTATCACATCCTTTCCTATGCCCCAAGTGCAAGACCTTGCACTTCTCCACATGGAACGCCATCCTGTTGCCTCCTGCCCACTTCCGCAGCCGGATCCTCCTGCACCTGGATCACCGGCTCCTCAGGGGTGGCCACCGCCCCCACGGCAGTATCTATCGCCTGCAAGTTTAGCCCGCAGGCGGTTGGAGCGGCACCTGGAGAGCCACTGCCCTGCAACGTGCCACAGAAAGTGTGTAGTGATTTGCTCCAATCCCCCCCACCCCTTCTGGGCAGCAGAAAGGTCAGGAGGGAAGAACCCGTTCCGTTTTTTTTCCCGTGGCAGAAAAGGCAAGCAACAAAGGCAGGCTGAAGGCCGGGCGAGATCAGCTTTCTTCGGGCCGATCTCCCAGCGCAATGCCACTGCTCGGTGACCGAGAGAGCAGGAGGACCGCCTGCTCCCCGGCTCCTCCGAATCGGGGCAGGATTTCCGCAGCAGCGCCTCCACTGCCATCTCGTCTGACCCCTGGCTCCACTCACGACATGCCCACCATGTGCACGTCCAGCCTGTCCTTGAACACCCTCCCCGATGGGGCCTCAACCGCCTCCCGTGGAAGCCCATTCCACACCCATGGTGTCCTAACTGTCAGGAAGTGCTTCCTGGCATCCAAATGGAACCTTGGCTCCCTGATCTTTGCTCCATTGGAGCGTGTCCTGCCTTCCTCTGCAGGGGAGAACAGCTCTCTGTCCAACAGGTCTCAGTTCCACAGAGCAGGTGAGCTGTAAGGGGGGGGGGCATTCCCTTAGAGGAGAACAGCAACAACCCGCTTGCTCCAGAGTGCTGAGGCTTCCAGACTGCTCCCCGTAGCGCCCGCCCCCCCCCCCCAGCCCCATCTCCAAGGCAGGCTGTTGGGCTGGCTGTTGCTGCTCCGGGAGGGCACGGAAGCGCCTGTTCCCCCGGCGTCCCGCTGCCACAGCCCCAGGCAACCTTCCGCGGGGCTTGTGGAATCAGTCTGCCTCTCGGCTTCGCACGACTGCAGCCAGCTAGTGCTCGGCGGATCAGCCTCAACACGGGAGGAAGCAGTTCTCCGTAGCGCAGCGTGCCGGGCGATGAACATTTTGTGCACGAGAAAGCAACCCGATTAAAAACACGCTCTTTGCTCGAGCCACGTGGAATGCGGTCTGGACTTCTGCAGCGCTGGTCCTTAAAACCAGCCGCCTTCCAGTGTCGTGCGGTGAGGTGTGTGTGTGTGTGGGGGGGGGTTTGCAAGCACAGCGGTATGTGCATTGGCACTGGGAGGCGCAAGCGGGTCACGCTGAGCCCCGCGAGGGGACGGGGTGTGTGCGGGGGCCCGTGAGCACCGCCGCCTCAGATCCTTGCCCAGGCAGGAGACCGTGCTCCCTTCGGACCCTCTGGAGCAGCTGCAGGGCCCCTCAGTGCGCACAGAACTGCTCTGGCACAGAGTCCTGAGGTAGAGGTCACTGCTTTGGAGGCCTTGCAAGGGTGTTGGCCAAACTCTCTGGGGCACTCGAGTGGCAGCATCACGAGCCTGCACCGCGCAAGCAGCCAGGGGTACCGCTCCCCGCACAGCCCCCGAATTGGCTGGCACACTCAAGCTGCTCACAGGAACCTCGGTGCCAGTTTCGCTGGTGAGCACAGAAAGCACCGGCCGCAACCCTCTTTGGCCAAGTCCCCCCGGAGCAGGATCAGTGGGAGGGCCAGGCTGGCTGTGGCTCCCTCTGCAGAGGGCTGCCGGGCTCAGGGGTGGCCCCAGCACGCCCCACGCCGAGCAGGACTCAGGACTGGCTGCTCCACGGGGGGCGGGGGGGGGCGAAGAGTCCGAGGGCGGGGGGGCGCTTCCTGCCTAGCCCCGGTGAGCCAGCCGCAGCGAGCCACGGACCCCGCTTGCGGGCCCCCCCACCCGCCACGGCTGCCTTGGCTGCCCGCTCACAAGCAGGCCGGAGGCTCTGGGCTGGCGGCCCACGCCCACGGAGGGGCGCCCCACTGGCCCCTAGCCACGGCCTGCTCAGGCGGGCAGCGTGCTGGAAGTGCCTGTGGCAGAGCGAGCGGTCCCCCAAGCAGGGCGGAGGAGGCCGGGCTGCCGTACGAACCTGTCACGCTGAGGCTGGCTGGGAGGGAGCAGGCGAGGCGGGCAGGCAGCTGGAGCTGAGAGGCGGTCTGGGAGGCGGACGGGGAGAGCGGGGGCGCCGCCTGGACGCTGCTCGCTGCCGCTCGGAGCAGGGCGTGGTGCTGAGGGCGCCGCTTCTCCTGGGCCCGAGGCTCTAGGCGGGGAGGGACAAGCACAACAGCCAGTTCCGCTGCCCCCCGCGCCCCTCCACACTCCCACCCACCCATCTACTGAGCAGAGGCCGAGGCTGAGAGCAGGCATGGCTCATGGGGGGGGGGGGGGCGTCCTGATGCCAGCAGTGAGTGGTCCACCCCAGACACTTGGCGGTGGCCCCGTGCTCCTGAACGCAGAACTGTGCCGCCTGACCCTGCGGCTCATGGCGTCTCGAGGCCACAGTCCTCCTGGTGCGGGCAAATGCAGGAGGGCACGAAGAAGGCCACACGCAGACCTGGAGGGCTACCGGGCCAGGCCCCTCCCCCACCAGGGACCGCAGTGCCAAGCCGCCCCGGTCACGGGGGTGCCCATGACAGCGCCAAGCACGTGGGGGCTGCCAGGCATGGAGAGGGCGGGGAGCGATGCTTGACGGACAGCCGGACGGAGCCGCAGTCTGCGCAGCCGAGGCAGCCCCCTGCCTGCCTGGGCCTGGCCGCTCGGCACGTGGGGGCGGGGGGGGGCTCGGGTCGCCTGTGCAAGGAGCAGCAGCGCAGGCCCGGCAGCGGCGAGAGCCCCTCGGGGGCCCAGGCCTCCTGCCGCTGCCGCACCCGAGCTGCCCCTTCCTGCGACGGACAGCAGCCTTGCGGGTCCTTCCCAGCTCAAGGGGCGGATGGATGGGTGGTCAACTGCGGGGTCCCTCTGCCCGAGGCCCACCCAAGCCCGGGCTGCCGTCAGCCCAACAGAGGAGCAGATCGCTTGCGATGCACTTTTATTCAGGAGAGGCAGGAGCAACGGCCGCGCCGGTCACGGCTGCCCCGCGCGGCAGCACAGCCGCCCCCAGATCCACCGGAGCGCTCCCAGCAGCGATCTGCCGGGCAGCTTACCTCGCACAAGCGCCAGCGCCCGGGAGGGGTCTTTCTGCGGGCCCTGCCCCTGCCCCGTGCCCCCCGCAGGGGCAGCGGGGTGGTGGCAGCTGAAGGCAAAGCTCGGCGAGCTCTTGACCTGGGGGGAGGCCGGCTGGCTGCCGCCACTGCCGCCCATGCTGAAGCTCCTGGCCCGGCAGAGGGAGTTCTCCGAGAGGGACGCCGAGACCCCACTGCGAAGGAATGGAGAGGGCGTGCATCAGGCGCTGCTGGGACAGCCCTCCCGGGGCCTCCGGGGCGGCCCTGGCTTCGGGCAGGCAAGGGTGGTCCAGAGGCAGCCCCCCCCCCCGGAGGGGAAGCAATGGCACCCCTCCCCAAAGCCCCCGAAGGCCTCCACATCCAGCCGGGCCCGTCCCTGCGGAGGGGTGGCGGACATCGACCCACACGGCTCACTCCTGCTCCCCTCCCCGGATCAAACAGCCGTCATCCGCTCACACCGCGGCCCGTGCCACCACGCCCATCGCTGCTGGCGCAGAGGCTGCGGACGGGCATTTCCCCATCGCTGCTGCCCAGGACTATGAGCCTCTCCCAGGCAAACGTGCGAGAATGAAGTGGCCGCTCGGCCGGGGCTCCCCCCCCCCCCGGAAAATAGCTGGGAGGGGAAGCACTGTCGCTCTCCGGAGCCTGAGCTGCCCCCATCTGAGCCAGTCAGCCGAAGCGGCCCAGCAGAGCCCGTTCCAGGAGCACAAGGGATCCCGAGCTGGTGAAAAATGCCCACAGTGAAGCAGAAATGCTTTTGCAGGAAGAGGGGCTTGTGCTCGCTTTGCCGTGACCACCCATTCAGGGCCGGGGGTCTCCTTTTCATTGCCCTCCCATCCCGCCCAGCAGCCGAAGCGCGCTCGGCTGGCTCTGGCCTGCCTTCCGTCCCTCAGGAAAGGAAACAGGCGGCAGCATCGCCGGAGGAACGGGTCCCAGTGTCTTCCGGGACTCCGGCCCGAGCTGCCACCTACTGGCTTGGCCATGGAAGCCCATGAGGCGCGAGGGGAAGCGGCCGGGGGATCCCCGCCACCCAGCGCTGCCCGGCAGGCTGTGCCCACAGGCTCGGCTACATACTTGGCCCCCTTGGGAGGAGTCCGGGGTCCCTTCCTCCGGGAGAGGCCTGCCACGGCCCTCATGCCGCGGACGTGCTTCAGCATCCAGGCACGCAGGTTGCTGAGGCAGCTGTGCTCCGACAGGATGATCCGCGGCCAGGGGTTGCACTCCGCCATGTCCAGGGCGGCGACCGCCAGGGCTCTCCCGACCTGTGTGCATGTGGGGGAGGGCAGCCGGCTGTGGGTCTTGTGGCCCGCAGAAGCGCTTCAGCGAAGCCGGGGAAAGGGCCTTCCCCTCGGCAGCAGAGCAGAACAAGGCGGCGCGGGACCTGGGGCGACCCCCCGTGCCTCCTGCTGCCTCAGGCAAGTGGCAGCGGCCTCTGCACCAGAGAAGTGGCTGCTCTTCTCTGCTGGTCTTGCCTGTCGGCTGCCGGGCTGCACGAACCCAGGAGTAAGCCCGGCTCATGCCATCCTCACAGCCCACCAGGGAATTCCTGGAGGTGCCCCGGGGCACCTGCTGCCAGGGAACGTCCGGGGCTGACAAGGCGAGCCAGGAGTCCTGCCCCCCCCCCGCCCCGCTCTGTGACTGGTTTCTTCTGGGGAGCACATGAGGCAGGGCAGCGCCTGCTATATCCCACAGGGACGAATGGGGAGCTTCCACTTCTGCCTGGCCAGCAGGGGCTTCTGGGACTGACCAGAAATGGCCATGCGGGGAAGGCCCTCCCTGCTTGGGAGAAGGTCCTGGGGCACAGACTCCACTTGAGGACCAGTACCTGCTCAAACAGATCCACAGTGTACTTGGAAGGGAACGCCGGGAGAGGTGGCGGGGTCGCCCGCCCGTTGTCATGGCAGGCCGCCGGAACTGCGTTGACCGATCGCCCCGTGTTGTAATTGCACTCCAGTGTGTAGCTGGGAAGACATGAAGGGGGATGGCAGGGAAGCGGCTCCCAAGCCCGACCGGGAGCCGGAGGAGGGGAAGAGACACCCGGCCAGCACCCTGCCTGTGCTCCGCTGGCCCTGGGGAGGCGCCACACAGCCCCCGCTGGCCCCTGCTCCCCTCGGCCGGCCAGCGATCTCTCCAGGCTGTCGGGCGCCGCACATTTTGCCTCCAGGAGTTGGTCATGCTCACCTCCCCAGCCACGCCAGGCCACGCCAGGCCATGCCAGGGCCCCTGGACGGAGGTTCCCCATGGGATCCCCGCAGGGCAGCAGAACCGTTCGCTTTCTGGCTGTACGGAAAGGAAAAGTGGGTGGAACTCCCAGGAGGCAGGAGCTGCTGGGACACGCACCTGTGAATGATGCCCGAGGCTTTGTAGATGGCCACGCGCCCGCTGCCCTCCTTGGACTGCCCGTCCCTCTTATCTTTGGCATACATGTTCTTCTCGGAGAAGTTGCAGCCCGCGAAATCAAAATGGGCTGAGTTCAGGGAGATGAGCTTTGGAAACAGCATGTTTTCCACCTGCAGGACCGAGGGAGGCTGGGGCAGTCGGCAGTGACAGCTGGTCCGGCCCCCACCCAGGCCCAGCTGGTCGGCCATGGCCCTCCGAGGCCACCACACAGCTCCGTGGCTGAGGGGGAGAGGGCAGCTGCCGCAGCTGCTCAGAAAACCCCTCGCGGCCCAGTTCCCTCCGGTCAGCGCAGCGGCAGGGGGTGCCTGGGCTTCTCGGGGGCGGGGGGCAATCTTTAACCCCGGCCACGCTCGGATCGCACACCCCCTTCCCTGCTGCCACGCTCCTTCGGACAGCCCCCGACAAGCTCAACCCGCGGGCAGCCTGAGCGGCCCTGGCAGCCGCCCCTCACCTGCTGGTTCTCGTCGGAGATGCTGTTCCCGTACATGAAGCAGCCGCGCTTGGAGGCGTGCCCGTGCAGGTCCACATAGTACGCCAGGCCACTCTGCTGGGGCGGGATGGCCTCCGGGGCGGGCGGGAGGGGGCTCCCCACGTCGTTCTCGGGGGCCGGCGGCTCTTTGGAAAGGATCCAGACGTTCTGGTCCTTGCTTCTCGGGGCCTCCGAGGACTCGAGCTTCTGATGCGAGGGGGGACCTGCATCCCCGGGGCTGTTGTGGAGGTTGTTGGCGTTCTCCAGCTCGGAAAGGCAGGGCTCCTCCCTGGGGGGGCAGTTGTGCGAGGGACGCTGGTTGGCTGCCGCCGTGCTGAGGGGAGGGACGCAGGCCCGCCAGTCGGGGGCGCCAGGCTGGACTCGGCTGTGGACGTGGTGGTACAGCAGGACGGCTTTGGCTCCGAACACGGCGGGGTGCAGCTCCGCGTCGGGGCTCAGATACTGGCGGTTCAGGTTCACTCCCCGAGAGTCTGTCCTGCGGGCAGGGGAATGGAGGCTGCGGGCTGGGCGACGGCACTCTGGTGGGCGCCGGGCCTCGCCTGCTCTGTCCGACCGGCCGCCCCTGGGAAAGCGTGTGCAGCCCCCGCCTCCAGCACAGCTCTCTGGCCACCCGCACACCCCAGCAGCCCCCGCATCCCTCCAAGCGGGGCAGAAACCCACACACCGAGCCAGCGCGCTGCTCCGGGGCCCTGGGCCACTTTTCATGAGCACACCCACTTCAAAGCCCTGGGAGCTGCTTGCGGCCATCCTGACGGCAGGAGCCGGCACTGCTGGGCCGACTGGAGGCCGGAGGGCTCAGGGGACGAAGGCCCCGTGCCCAGGGGATGCCAGCAGGCCCTGCTCAGCCGCCTGGCTCAGCCTCCCCACGGCCTGCTGGGTTTTTTATTGTGCAATCCCAGGACAACCAAGCGACACCATCACAAGGGAAGCAAAAGGGGGAAAGAAAAAAAATGCAATGTTTGGAAAGTATTTGAGAAACGAATACTCAAATCCGCAAGGCACCGACTGCATTTCCATTTTATGTCCCTAGATGCCATTGTTGGAAATATCGATGCACAGACTAGACCCTAATGGTCACCCACCGAACAATCCAAAGTTTAATTAAATCCTCCATCTGGTGTGTTATCACAGGAGGCCGTTTATCCTTCCGGTATTGGAATAAGAGTCTTTTAGCTGCCAGAAGGGCATAGAAAATCCATTCACTGTGACATTCCAAGAGATGAGCAAGTAATTCAAAACAACACACGTGTCCTTCAATCTGAAAAGAATCTTTCATTGCTTCCTCCTGAATGGAAGCTGCCACTGGGCCAGGCCCAGGCACAAAATGAGGAGAAGTGCTGCCAGATCTGTGCCTCCAGCCGGCAGCTGCTTGGCTGAGCCCTCATCAAAGAGGTGCTGTGTATGCAAAGCATCCATTTTTGCCCAATTGCATATAGCCCGAGATCTGAATTCCCTTGTGAAATGGATAACAGAGGCCCTCCAACTGGCGGGGCAGTGGAGTGTTCTCCAACTCACCCCCACATTCCTGCAGGAGGCCCGTGGGCCTCTTTGTTCACCAAGTCCTACAATTTATACGTATAAACTGTAACCTAAATTGTGGGCCAATGTACTTTGTCCGGCCTCAGCCAGGCTCTGCAGTGGCAAAAGCAGCAGGGCCAGGGCCAAACTGCACGCATTTCTGGGTAGCCACGGCGGACATTCGTCCTCCGCCTGCAAAGCAGAGAATGGCGAACGGCAAGGACCGACAAGCTGAGCCAAAGCCCAGTTCAGCCTTTCGGGCCAGGCCTGCCAAAGAAACATTTTCTCACCCCTTTTTAAATCCAGATTTGACCATGGGAAGTTATGCTAAACTGCCACTGGTGTGGAAGCATATGCCACAGCTCTCTAGCTGCCAAAACTGGAAAGGATGCATTGATATGGCAGGAGCCCAGTGTGATCTATCTGGGGAGAGGATCCAAAAACAAGGATTCCAAAACAAACAAGGGAGAAGAATCTAAGTGGAAAAGACCAATGGTACAAGAAAGAGCGAGGAGGTCAAATCCACCATCTTTGGTCTGAAATTGCATCCTTTGCAAAAGATCTCTGCGGTGGAGTGGAGCCACAAAAATTTACAAAACAAAGCATTAAATTCTGAAAATACTTGGCAGGCACCAATAAAGGAATACCATGCAAAATATAAACCATCTGAGGTATAAATGCATTTACTCTGCCCCATCATTTAACTCTGAATGTCCATCCATCGAAATTCCTGTCCTCATTAATCAACTTACTGAAATTTAAGTTATTCATCTGTAAAATGTTTCCTGGTGCAGGAAGGTAATACATCTAGCACCGAGTCTAAATGGCCAGATGGATCAAAGAGCATCTAGGGCCTTCTCTCCAAGAGGCAGGAGCTCCCACTCTGACCAGTTGTAAGAAATGCCCTCGTGTCCGAAAGGAGCCGTTTCTGCGCATGGGCTGAGGCCTGGAGCCTGCAGTTCACGCTCCATCGCGTGCGGCCCAAAGCCAGGGCAGCGAGGCCTTCGTCTGCCGCGAAGGCTGCTCACGGCCCCCTCTTCCGCCCAGCAGCCGGCCGGAGGAGTCCGGGCTGCGTCCCACCTCCCGCCCGGCTCAGCGCCCACGGCAGCACTCACCGGTAGTGTCCCCGCACCACCCCGTCGGGGTTCAGCATGGGGATGAGCTTGAAGACAAACATGCGGCGGAGCACCTGCGCCCGGGGGTCCTCCTCCCGCAGGATGAACTCCAGGAAGCCGTTGAAGACGAAGCTGGAGGGCGTTTCTCCGGGATGCACTCTGCTGCTGAGGAAGAACACCTGGGCCGGAGGGAAAGCGGGCAGCCTGCTCCAGTGCTGGCCTGTGGCCTCAGCAAACGGTGGGCCGGCCGGCCACCCGCCCTGCACAAGTTGTCGCCTCCCCGTGGCACTCCCACAAATGGTTGCGTTGCAGCCTGGGAGTGACCGGGATCGAGCCGACATGTCAGCTCAGGCCCTTCCACCTCCAGGCTGCAAGACGACCAAATGGGGGGCAGTCGGGGGCCAGTTCTGCAAGGCCCTGGAACTATTCATCTTCCTCATGTCTAGGCGGCTTCTGACTCGGCAACCGCCAGGCTGAAGGGAGACCCAGCCTGCCTGCGGACCGTTTGCCTCATACAGGAAGGCAGCACTTCAAACGGGGAATACAGACCGAAGGAAGGGGAAAGCTGGAGACCAGAATGTCACCCTTACCCTCACACTGCCATTTTCAGGGCGGTTTAAGAATGGGAACAGGACGCCAGAAGAAGAAAAGGCAGGTAGAGGAGCAAGGCAGGGAAAAGAAAATGGAGGAGGAGTGGTTGAGGAACGTAAACCCTGAAAGGCCAAACATGGACATCTCAATGGAAAGCACGAAGGGAGCTGAGCCGACAGAGCAGAAGGAAGCAGGGAAGCATGGGGGAGCCGAGCCGGGAAGCAACCTCAAGGGGATGCCAAGCTACGCACACAGGCAGCAGAAGGCAGCAGGGCCGCGTCAGCAACGGCCTTCTCCACACTCCCACCTGGCCCGGCCCGGCCCGCAAGGCCTGGTGGCGGGGCCGTGCGCTCCTTCCTAGCCCCACTCGTAGCTGAAACCCGGGTCCCTCTGCACCCAAACCTGCGCTCCACTGCGGAGCTGCAGGGCGCAGCGCCGGGAGGCACAGGCAGAAACGCTTCTTGTGCCCGGAGCAGCCCCCCAGGTCAGCATCGAGATCAGACGCCCCTTCCCTGGCGCCACAGCCCGCCGACCAAAGGCTGGCGGTTGCTCCCGCGAGGGCCGGTGGCCGTCCGCTCTGCCAGCCCCTGCGGGGGCCCCTGCTCAGGCACGAGGCCCACGGCTCCCACCGCCGGGCTGCGGCCCACTCACTCTCTTGCCCACGAAGCAGTGTGGCCGGGGCGTGCTCTTGTCTGGGAAGAGCTTCTCCAGGCGCGCCTCCCGCTCCTCCTGCATGCCGTGGCGCGACGTGATGGTGAGCAGGTCCACGCGCAGCTTGTCCAGGGAGTAGCACAGGAGCTCCCGGTGGTAGTAGATGGAATCCAGAGAGCTGGAGGGAGGGAGGACGAGCGGGCCCTGTCAGTGCGGCTCCGTCCTCTCGGGGAGCGCCCCCGCCAGCGCCCGGCGGCTCTCCTCCCAGGCAGCAACTGGCCAGAAGGAAGTCACCAAAGCAGAGCAGTCCTTTCTGGGGCGCGGGGGAGGAGCCTCGACTCTCTTCCTTTGTGGCCGCTTTCCTTCCCTGTGGGCGGCTGTCGCGCCATGCTCTACTGCCCACCGCCGTGGCCAGAGGACCTGTGCTGGCTGACTGCCCACCCAGGGCGGACCCCCAGCGGCCGGGCCTCCTCCTCCCTCCCACCGGCCCGGGCGGGCAAGGAGCTGCAGGGGGCGGCAACCGACAGGCTGCCAGCGCCAGTGGAGCGGGAGGGGAGCCACGGTGCCCCCGGGGTGGGATGCCCTTGGCACGGGCCCTGCCCCCACCGGCCCCCTCTCTCTGGGGCGCCGCCCGGGCCCTGCAGGGGATTCAGGGCGGTCACTTACGGTGTCCCCTGGAGCGGGGCCTCCGTTTTCCCCTTAGCACGTCCTCCTCTGGGGCACTTCCTTGCTCTGTGGGCGGCGGCAGGCGGCTTCCCCTCAGCCCTTCTACAGTCTGTGCCTGCCCTCCGACTAACTGTGCTACAATGCGGGACACGAGTTTAGACGGGGAGGGAGGGCCTGGGCGCCCCTCTTCTTCCTGCCTTGCCCAGCCGGCCCCCCTCGCCGGCGCGGTCCGGGCACCCCGGCACCCCACGCAGAGGCAGCAGCCCCAGCAGCCCTCGGCTCCTGCCCTGGCTGTGGCGGCCCCGGAGGGCTCTGCAGCGCAGCAGGTGGGAGCGAGCGAGCGAACGGGGCAGGTGGGCAGGGCGGAAGCAGCGAGTGAAGGGCGGCGACCCTCCATTCAGGTTGGCCTTTGCCTCGGTTTCCCCTTCCCCGAGAGCCCCGTGGGAAGGGCCAGTGTGCAGAGCTGCCGAGAAAAGGGACCGGGGTCTCCCGGCCCTGGCAGGGCCCGCAGGTGTGGCCCCAATGCCTGGGCTCGCCATGAGGCCGTGTCCCCTCGGCCGAAGCGGAAAGGGCTGAACAGAGCCCTGCAGCACAGGGAGGGGATGGGGAGGTTGGGAGCTGCAGTCCAACTGATAAGGAAGGCACGGGGGTGGCGGGGGGGGGGGTGGCTCAGGTCAGGCGACAGCTCCGTCCTGGCTCAGGCGAAGCAGCGCCTCCTCCATGCAAGGCCCGTGAGCCGACGGAGTCAGTGGCCACGAGACACACCGGTGGCCACTGCTCTTGGCCGCTGCTTCCCGCGGGAGGGGCTTCCCTTGAAGCGCCTGAAGGAAACGGAAGGCAAACGGAGGCTGGAGCCACGGGCCGTGACAGCCAGGGAGGGAGCTGCCGGCACAGCCGGAGAAGGAGGCTGCTGCACAGTGCTCTGCCGCCGAGCTCGTGCCCGGCTTTCTTGGGAGTAGCGGGGGGGGGGGGCGTTTCGGGGGAGCCAGAGCTGGATCAGAGGTCGCTGCAGCAGCCAAAATTGACAGTGGCAGCCCCCGGCCACGGGCAGGGAAGACAAGCCCCCTGACCTGCAAGGGCCCGGTCTGGTTTTCCGGCTCCTCTGAGAACGAGGCGAATGGCCGGCGTTTCTTTTAAAGCATTTCTACCCCGCTTTTCCATTTAAAAAGTACCCAGATTGGCTTACGGCACACGAAGCAACTCAAAGAGAAAACAAAAGAACAGCCAATAGAAAACGAGCTGACACCGTGAAAACCAGTGCAATTAAGGAAAAGGCAATGTGTACTTTCCGAGTGGAAAGATGGGAGGGAACGGGCCTCAGGGGCCACTGGGGGAAAGCGAGTCACAGCGTGGGCGCAGCAGTCATGAGGATGGCCCCCTCTGGCACCCCCGGGGAAGGGGCCCAAGGACAGGAACGGCCTGGCGCACAAAAGGGGCCTCCTGGGAGGGGGCCCTGTGCGAAGGAGCGGCCTGGCGCACAAGGGCCACGGACGCGCCCGCTCGGCCACTGCAGCCCGGGGCACCGCCTTGCATGGGGGACGGAGCAGACGGCTCCAGCACTGCAGCCACCCAGCATGCCGGAGCTGCTTCGACCGGGCCACGCCGAAAATGCCGGAGCCAGGAGCTTCACAGGCCCCCGCCAGGGCCCGGAGCCGAATGCAGCTCCCGGGCAAAGCCCCGCCTGCAGATGGCGACAGTCACCATCTCTTGGACGAGGAGGGGGAACGTCCCCCAGCTGAAGCCCTACGAAGCCCTTGAAGTCAAGACAGGGCAGTGGCCCCTGCGGAACCGCTGCACTGCGACTCCCATGCTGGGCGGGGAGGCTGGGAGCTGCAGTCCAACTGACAAGGGCGGCACGGCGGGGAGACTGGCCCGGGCGCGGGCAAGCCTCCAGGCTGCATGGCCCGCCAGTGAGGACTGGCCCGAGGGCCCGGCCCTGGCGCCGGGTGTGCGGCTGCCTCACTGAGCCATGCAGGACGGCCGTGGGCCCCTCGGCAGCTCCGCAGCAGGGGCTCGGTGGCCTCAGGGTGCCTAGAGCAAGCTCTGGGTGCTGCGGACAGAGCCCCGCTGGCGGGATGGGGCTGCGCCAGCACGGGGCAAGCGAGAGGTGCCGCACAAGTCCCCCGAGGGGGCCTGGGGGGCAGAGCGGCCAGACTCAGCCGCGGAGCAGCGCCCGCCATCAACACGCCGAAGCCTGCCGGAGCGGCCAGGCAGCCTGCGTGCTCGCTTCAGGCTCTCGGGAGCAGCAGGCATTCTCCCTGCACAGTCAGCGCCCAGCGTTTCCCGCAGAAGCAGAGGGGCCCGTCGTCAGGAAGCAGCTGCTTTTACCCAGCAATGAGCTTTGCGTGGCGGAGAAGCAGCAGGAAGCAAAGAACTGTACAGTGCGTCTTCCTGGCCTTCAGCCGCCTGAACGCTGTGAGAACCGATTCCAGACGGAGAGTGTCTTGCCATGCAATGCCACCCTTTCCGGAGGACCATCACCAAGGAAGCAGAGGGCGGAGAGAGTGACTGGGGTGATCTGCCAGTGGCAAATGCTTCCGCAACAGCTCCAGTGCAGGCCGGCGCCCGGAAGAGTGTACACAGCTGGGCTTGGGGCCTGGTTACCTGAAGGCACGCCTCCTTCCACACCTGCCTGCCCGCCCCTTAAGATGTGGGGAGAGGCCCTTCTCCGGGTGCCCTCCCTGAAGGAGATTAGGAGGGTGACTACCCGGAGGAGGGCCTTCTCTGTGGTGGTGCCCCATTTATGCAATTCGCTCCCCAGAGAGGTTCGCCTGGCGCCGTCACTTTATTCTTTTCAGCGCCAGGCTAACCCTTTTTTATTTTCCTGATGTTTTAAGATCTGATTGTTTTAACTGGGGTTTTATTGTCGGTTGAAATTTTTCATTAGACACTGCGTTTTATTTTACATTGCTGTATTGTTAAACCGTCCCGAAACCTCGGTAAGAGATAGTCTAGAAAAGTTTTAAATAAATGAATGAATACGCTCCTCGCCCAGCATTTACAGCGGACGGGAGCCAGCAGCCGAGCAACACCCCACTGCCTCAGAGAGGTGGTTCCAGCAGGGTTTGGGGCCACGCGCTGCGTGGAAGGACCCTGGCGCACGCCCTCGGCAAGGCAATCAGCTGCACCCGGATGTGTGTGCTAGGAGGCAACGTCCAGACCGAGGGCTGGCCGCCTTTATGGGTCTGCAGGCACCTCTGGCGATTTGACAAGCTCTCCTAGGCAGCAAAAGGATTGCTGCCGATCATGACAGGGGCCTAAGACTGACACCAAAGCAGAGCGGGGACCGGAGCAACAGCACCCCGAAAGGCCCCTTGGAGCCCCCGGGTCCCGCCGGCAGCAGCAACCTGCCTCCTTCTCTGTCTACCGGCTGTGCCAACCCAATCGCTTCCCACCATCTCCTCTACTCCCCCAGTCTGGATCACCACTTTATGCGGGCACTCAGCCCGATTCACTGCTCAGGAGGCGGCCCGGGGCCTCTCCCGCAGGAGGAGCCCCTTCGTGCCACGTCACTCCCAACCCAGGCCGTGCTGCGGACGACAGAAGTGGCAGAAGAGTGGCAGCGACGCAGATGGCCCGGGGCCCCGCTCACCTGCCGGGGGAGAGGTGCCTGCCCTCCGCGAAGCGAGCGTCCAGCCGCGCCAGCATGTCCTGGCACTCCGTGTAGGAGAAGGGGTAGCAGAAGGCGAAGTAGGTGGTGGCTCCTCGGCAGTCCAGGAAGCAGTGCACAAAGGACAGGACGAACTGGGTCTCCGCCATCTGGGCGAGAGAAAGGGGGCAGCTGAGGCTGAGCGGGCACAGCCCAGGCTGTGGGCCCGTCCGCTGCTGGGCACTGCGAGCCCCACGCCCGCAGCTCTGGGCTGAGACGACGAGCCCCTGCCTCCTGCCCCCGCCGGGATTAATGCGCGGCCCACCCGTGCTCACAGCCTCCTTCCAGCTTCTTCCCAGCGACACCCCCACATCAGCTGTGCGGCAAGGGCAGGAAACGTCCACGCTGCCCCTTGGTGGACACTCTGTCCCCAAGCACTGCAAAGCGCTCGCTCCACTCGGGGCCGTCCAGGGGAAGAGGGCCAGAAGAGGGCGGCTGCTAGCATGCCGTCGAGGCACCTGCTGCGACGTGGGAAGCAGCGCCTCTCTGCTGCCAAATGCGTGGAAGGGGCCGGCCGGCCACCGACCTTCAGCGGCGAGCTCAGAACAGCCCCGCAGAGGAGCCAGCCTGCTCGGCCCAGTGCACCCAGAGGCCTCTCCTCTGCCCCGGCCTCTCACCGGGGGGGGGGGGGAGCCAGCAACTGCCTCAGGGCTTAGGGAAACGAGAGGAGGGAGGAGCAGGCTCCGTGCCGCCTGTGGCAGATTCCTGCCTCCTGGAAAAGGGGGCTGCACACAGCAGGCCCTGCCAGCTAAGAAGCTGCTTCTTCGCTAGAGTTACAAAAGACAGCTGGAGGAAAAATCAGTGTCTGCTTGCTAGTTCATCCTCTGGGGCAACACGTGTGTTTTCTCCAGAGACAACAGAGAGCCACATCAGTCCCCCCCTAAAAAAAAGAGTCACTGAACGGAACGGCCCGAACATGAACCAAGCCAGAACTAGATCAGGGACCAGGGCAAGCCTTTTCTGTTCTTTCAGACCATGGAAGATGAATTCTACCAGGGGACCCGCAAAACAGAAGCACTGCTAGGCTGAGACGGGGAGGCTGGAGCTGGCTGGTGGGCCTGACCCGCCTTCCCTTTGCCATGCACAGTTCAGGTCCACATTTCTACCCACCCGCCTTAAGAAGACCATGCTCATCTCATGGGAGCACACCCACGCCCAAACGGCAGCACCTGCGCCCGACTCCGTCCCCAAAGCACTTGCCAGAGGCGTACCTCGAAGACAGGCCGCTCACGGATGCGCTCCCACCGGGGCCTCGCAGGGACAGTTTTGACCAGGGGGGCCATGCCCTGAGAATAGAGCTTTGTCTGCTTGTTCATATTGACAATGTGGATCTTAATCGTTTTTCCTG